TTTTTTTTTTTTTTTTTTTTTTTTTTGTGCTTAGTGGTCCATGCTTCATATTATAATTGATCGACAATTGCCCCCTGTGGCATAGTCCAGTGATGCAAAGAACAGGAGTGAGATTATCTCACGCCTTACTAGTAGTCGCAGTGTGTGAGTTCAATTTCTGAGACATGAAATTGGACTCCTTGTAGGTACAGTGTACAAACAGCTCTTGTTCCCTGACTTGTTGAGACACATCCTGCAATTTACCTTCCTTATAAAGTTCTAAAAACGGGACAATAGGGACCCTCAAAATTGGGGTTCAACCTTTATAATTGATCGACAACTTTGCTTGTCAAACATGTTTTAGGCCAACGTACACTTCGATAGTGATTGGCATGTTCTCATTAATAAATTTTGACACATGACGTGTCCCATTTTAACATAAATTTACAATCAAGTTGCCTTTATCACTTTTTCTTCCTTTTTGTTGTTAATATATAGTTTTAGAACTATTTACCATTTGAAATGTATCTAACTTTTTGTCTTTTTCAACACGTTTCAAAAAAAATGATATTACAAGCAAACCTAGAACAGGCTATACAAGTAATTTGCACGGACCAGCAAGACGAGCCACAGTCCAGATGGAGCCAGGTCTGCATCGGTTCAAGATTCAAATTGACCGATTCAAAAATTTTCAAGTGCTTATGACCTTAATAATTTAAAGTCAAACAAGTATCTTATCTTTTAAAAACTAAAAAAGGGCTCCACAATTAATTATATTTTAAATCAAGATGGTTGGTTGCAAACGTGCATTCAGATATCCATATGCATAATTAATTTATTTGTCCCCTTAACTTTGGGAGATTAAATTATAAAGGAATATTTCTTTCTCAATATTTTCGTTAGAGCAATTCACCAAGCTAGAAACAGAAATGAGCTTTAGATAGACCCAAATGAACTAGTTGAATAGTTGATGGATTATGATGACAAATATCTTCGACATTTTTCTTGAACAGCATCGAACAATATTAAGAAAGAAAAAGAAACTGTCAAGAGCGCGTGGCCGAGTTGGCAAAGGGCATGGCCTGGGAAACTGGGTTTGACTTCGACGAGGGTTCAACCCACGCTTGAGACATCCGCCTTCTCCTTGGAGAAGATTTAACCGGCTGGTGTGGTTGCGGGTCTCGTGCCAGCCCCCAGGTTTACCTAGTGCGCACTGGTCGCCAGTAACGGCTGCGGATTCCTGGGTTATCAAAAAAAAAAAAAAAGAAAGAAAAAGAAACTAAAAACGCACTGTTCCACCATACAGCTATACACGACAAATGTCTATTTTTGTTTTGGCTTCCCCAGGCAAATAAATAACTAAAATTTAAACCCAATAAAACTCGTTTGTTACACATGGCTAGGAGACATCCAAAACAGGAACCACCACACAATAGCTGCTGATTCTATTCCGTCTCATATTCTTCATGTCCACCAGTGATTTTCATATTTCACGTCACATCGTCCACCAGTGATGTTCATATAACTTAACCATGGAAAAGGATAAAGAACGGTGATGAAGATAGAATTATATGACCAATGTAGGAAAAAAATTACACACAATGCATTCATCATCAATTACTCCACAAAAGGAAAGATTAGCTCTGAATTACCCTTTCAGGGAATCCCTCTTATAGTTCCCTACGCCACCATCAATGAGTTCAACTGCCTACTAAAAAGATCTGCAAGTGCTCCACGTACATCCATCTGGAATATAGGACAACCACTTGTGAGAAATCAAGATTATCATTTATAAGATTTAACTGTCAATACTCAATAACACTTCTCATCAACTTCGCTAGTTTGCTTGACAAGAATAGAAAAATTACTTACTATTCTTTTTGGATAGAGTAAACTGTAATGGTTAGATACAGTCAATCTGGGAGCGAAGTTTACCTGGTCACAGCAGACAAGTTTTGTAATAAATGGATAGAAATCTCTGACGTGATTTCGGAATATTTGGGAGTTCATATCGCACATGCCTTTAAGTACCTGAAAGACCATGAAATATTCTTGTAAGTTGCAATTTAAATCATAATATCAAGAACATATGAAATGTTTGCTGAAAAGCATAAATAAACCCTCACACATTGTATTTACATTTTTCAACGAGTACTTGTGTTTCTGCCAACATACTTTTACTCCTAATAATATGGAAAACATCATGAATTAAGTATATTTAAACCTGGGATCTTCATGCAGAAACTAAAACGATAAAGCCTAGCATTATTGTCCTAATACGTAACAGAGCAACACCTTCACTTCATTTCTTTATATTCCTTACTAGAAATTCCTTCCACACCTTACCACCTTCAGTCCATCCAAAGTCCCAAGTCAATTCCCCCCTACCTGTACTGAACACCCACTGACTACTGTCTTTGAGACTATTAAACTAGTTATTTTTTTCAAAATCACAAATATTTGATATCTTGTTTAACTAAGCAATCGGAACTTTTGACATGCATCTTCCAACTAAGGAGCAACGTGCAAGAGCCTACAATGATCAAAAGCAGCCATTAGACTTCTCAGAAAATAGCATGTCCAAAAACGAAATGCAATCTGCATTATTAGTCTCCTCATCTAGCATCACGCGAGTAATTCGTTTGTATGCTCACCATTTATCTATTAATTCATGTGCATGCACAGGTCCGGTATGAAACGGGACAAGAAAAGGACAATGCCAATATATTAACTAGTTATGAGTTCCACTTATAGGTTCTGAGAAATTGATATCAATCACTATTTGCTAGCTTGTTGAAACATTGAGTTGACTATCCTCAACTGGCTTAATGTAGATACTCTTCAAGCCTGTGTCCGTCTTACATTATTAGTAACTTAAAAGTTACTTCAACTACCCAATAAAAAATCAAACTTCAATTTCAAGCACATTCAAAACTACCACTTATTATTATCCACACATCCCATGCCCCCCCCCCCCCCCCCCCCCCGGGCC